TAGACAACAGCACTTATACAAGACATACATTCGCAAAACAAAATCTAACGTACATCGTTTCTCTTCGAAATTACAAAGAGTCAACAGTTAATCCATTTAACAAAGAAGCAATTAAAGAACACTGCTTCGAACATGCTACTTTATAATAATCTTCTACAAATCACTTATCACTCGGATTTATCTCCTTCCTCGTCTTGCACCAAAGTGAAAGGAGACTTTTTTTTTTAATGAGATAAGACAAGTAACAAAAAAAAAAAAAAATGAAACTGCCTCCTTCTCGATCAACAAATCTTTCAATTCTGATTTCAACGCTTCTTTGCCTGGCCATGGGAGAATTAACAGAGAAGCACGATTAGCTACAAAAGTTTGGTCCACTTTGGTGCATTAACGAATCAAAGGCCGAATGCAATCTCTCGGAAAAGGATCGTGCATTGTGCTTCACGAAGAAGGAGCCAGAGAGCTCCTGGTGAAATCTTTCGTTCTCTTCTAAGCAGACTGTGCACAGCCAAGGATGTCAAACACATCCGCTGAAAAAGATATTGATCTATTGACAGCACAAACGCGTTCGAATGGGAGGGCCTGTGCCTCCGTATCCGTCGAGATTGCGATTATCACAAAGGGACTTATGGATTATCGATAACGGGCGAGAATGAAAAGCGGAAACGACAGGTCCCCGCAAATGGACTCGAGTGGACGCGATTGGAACGTAGATCGATAAATTCTATTTAATTCGCGTTTGAGCGCGCGCTCCGCCGACGAAGATAAATGGAAAATTTTCGTATAAATATTCCAACAATATCGTGTGTGTACCGGCTTTCGTTCATTCGTTTACACGTAACGTGGTCAATTACCGAACATGTAACCTTTCACCCCTCGAAAAACTTCCACCACATTGCGGAATCGGATGAGAATCCTTTCTTTATCGCGAAAATTTACACTTTTAATATTTATATATATATATGTGTGTGTGTGTGTGTGTGTGTGTGTGTGTATATCTATTTAATTATTTTACCTTATTTATTTTAATTATTAATGTGGAGATATAATTTAATGGTGTTTATTATATTAAGTAATAAAGAAAACGGAAATAAAACAACAAATAATAAAAGCAAGCAACAATAATTCGAATAAACTCAAACGACACAATTAATTCTTTTATGCAACAAAAAATGATCACTCTTCTGACCACACTCATTCAACGCTGTTTTACAACTCCGACGACTCTCTCCTTTTTTTAAAAAAAAAAAAAGAAAAGCGCTCAACGCCAACGCTGTACTTCTCACATCACATTCATACTTTTCGTTCACGCATCTCCAGCAAACAGGCCACCTATTAAAAGTAAAAGTAACTAAAAATATAATAATTTCGATACTACATTAATTCAATGTATCCGATATGTAAATGAAATTTTCCAATTGTACTTTATACAATCCTCGCTATCATTATGGTGTTACTCAATTTTTAAAACGAATTGAAAAAATCTTTCCTAATCTCCACGTAACTGAAAAACTCCTCTTGAACGATTCGTATTAGAAAGTCCCACTTTCGAGGAAAGAAGAAAGAAAACAGATTCCGTCAGTTCTGCACGCTCGCTCGCGAATTCTTCTCGAGGGGGGTGCCAATTCGCTGCCCTGGAAAGAATGACCAGAACGAAAGGCCGAATGTCGTCTGGCTACGCAGCGGGAATAGGTGGAGCTTTATTCTCTCTGGTTGTTGGATGTTGCACACACACTTGTGGATCTGTTCGCAGGCATCGGGTAGCCAGCGAGTTCCAAGCGATCCGCAAGCGGAATCCAGATCGCAGCCGGGTGAGCCTCAATCCGATGATAATTAGCTTGCGCGCCACGTTTTTCGAACGTCGGGCCCGATCGAATTCGTACGCGTAAGAGCCACCACACGAATGGCCGACCAATCTTGCGAATTCATAATGGATCCGGCATTCGGGACACGTGCACCGCTCACGTAAGCCGTGACAAAATTATATACTACAACGGCTGATTTCGCCGGCGCGTTTTAAACCGACCTGCTCCACCTGGACCTGGCCAGGAAATTACCTATCGCGGCCCATGCTCACGATCCGTATCGAA